ACTAAATGCTAACGGCGGGAGGGGGGGGGGGTACATAACGTATACTCTCTCTGTCCGGAAGTGACTCAACTATTATTTAGATATGGATGTATCAACACACTATAATGTGTCTATGTATATTCATATTTAGATAAAACGTTGTCACTTATTTCTGGACGGAGGTATATAATCATTTTTTTTAAATGAGGCTAATTTTTTGTCATTTTCATTAATAAAGAAGTTAAGAGTTTACAACATCTAGGGAAGAACCCTAGGCAAATGAAAGTCTACTCTCCCGGCATTAAGGAGCTCAAATCTTTTGTCAGACAATGCCATGAATAGTATATAGCAAAAATACATTCTTGAAATATTATAGCATGAACAATCAAAGGATATGATTGGTCGGACTCAGTCATAATCTCGTACATTCACCATCGCTCTAGCCTGCTTATTACTCCCTCCGTAAAGAAATATAAGAATGTTTAGATCATTAAAGCAGTGATCTAAACACATTTCTTTACAGAGGGGAGTACTTTCTAGATCTTCACAGGGTACTGATGGATGGAATCAGCCCAGGGCGCGCCAAGAGTGGTGTCGTCGCTGGGCGACCTCATGCACTCCCACACGGCGCTGTTGCACTTGAAGCCAGAGCCGAAGCCGACCATCCACACGCGGTCACCCTTCCGCATCCGTCCCTTGGCCTCGATGTACGCCAGCTCGTACCACAGCGAGCTGCTGGACGTGTTCCCGAACCGGTGAAGCGTCATCCGCGATGGCTCCACGTTCTCATCCGACAGGCACAGGCTGGTCTGCACAGCATCGATCACTGCCCGGCCGCCGGAATGGACGCAGAAGTGCTCGAAGGCCGTGCGGAAATCAGGCATGTACAGCTTGATCCTCCTGCCCAGCGCCTTCCGGGCGACGAAGGAGAGCGCAAAGAGCAGCTTCTCGGACGGCGGGAGGACGACGGACCCTAGCGCCGCGATGTTGGCCTTGAGCGTTTCTCCGGCGACGGGCACGAGGTCCTTGGACAGGTATATCCCCGTCTCTCCATGCTCGTCCTCCTTGAGCGACGCGCACAGGTAGGCTCTGTCCTTGGCGGCGGTGAGCGTTCGCACGATGTGCATTAGCCGGAGCCGGGACTTGGCCTTGGACGTGGACAGTAGCACCGCCGCCGCGCCCATCCGGAAGAGCGCACCTGGCAGCAGCATCGTCCGGTCCGGTCCGGTGTAGTATATGAAGGAGGTGATCTCCATGGACACCACGAGGGCGTGCGCGCCCCGCGGCGCCGCCTGCAGGAGGCTCCTCGCCACATCGAGGGAGATCACCCCAGCGCTGCACCCCATCCCGGACATGTTCACATTCCGGATGTCTCCTCGGAGCTTGTACTTGTTCACGATGATGTCGGTGAAGCTCGGCGTCGGGGTGAAGCCGCTGCAGTTGGTGACGAGTATGTCGATCGCTTCGGGGCTTATGCCCGTCTTGGCGAGCAGGTCGTCGACGGTGGCGAAGATGATCTGCTCCGCCTCGTCGCGGCTTTCGCTCAGGCAGCAGCGCGGCGGGATGTGGTGCAGCGAAGGGTGGAGGTAGGTCTGGTCGCCCAGGCCCGAGCGCTGCAGCATGCGCGTCATGAAACGGAAGGTGCCGTCGTCGATGTACGGCGACAGACGGGCGCTCTCGATGAAGGAGCCTATGGATACGCGGCAATTGGATTTGGGCCGGCAGCAGGCGTAGTCCACGAGGTACACGCTACGAGGGCGGCACATGAAGTAGAGGGTGGCTATGGCGAACGGTAGGAAGATGGCGAGGAAGACATGGACCTGCCGCAGCCCATGGAGCTGGGAGAGCAGCTCGTCGGGGCCGAGTTGCGCGGCTTTGCGGAGAACGACGACGGCTGTGACTGGTGCCACGACGACGATGAGGAAGTTGTTCACGACCAGCTGGTAGAGGGGTTTGAGGTGCTTGCTCACCATGTTGCTGAGGTGCGCGGGCAGTGGAGGACTGGTTGTTTTTAGGCGTTGGCTGGTTCATGTTTTGAGGTGACCGATTGAACTTAGGCCATTTAAAAAAGCACTCGGTCGTCCCCATGCAACTGTTTTGGGTCGTGCTATTTGCGCTGGCAGCCGACACAGCATTTACAGCGTCATGGAGAAAATATTCTGATCCAAAAGCACTGTGCTACTCCAATTGTCATGGTCCACTTAGAAATAAATGAAGCACATGATGCACTCTTTCAAAATATTCCATCTTGTAAGAGTTTCTTTTAACAACGTCCAGCTTTCAATGACTAAAAGCACTAGAGCGAGCCGAAGGCGCGTCATCGTCCTGGCCCTCCATCATCGGAGGCGGTGAAATCTTGTCGTAGTAGAATTTGTTGAAGTAGATAGATGGGAACTCGTCATGCTAAAACTTAAAGGATCAGCGCACCAACCGTCGCGAATGATGAGATCCGTTAATTGAAAGAGTCCCTCCTAGATGAAACTCGGAATATTAGTTCCTGTCACGATATTGTTTTCAACCTTTGCAAAGCACATTTATAGTGTGTCATGGTCGGTGGAAGACGGCGGCGGCGGCCTCTGAGAGTGTGTCGGACTGGTGTGTGCCCCAGACCAGGTATATGGCTTGGCTGGGGCATCCGGTTTTAAATGTTAGGCTTAGGTGCGAGGTCGGTTTGGTATTAGGCTCGGACTATCGGCACCCCTTCATCAAGTGGATAGAAGTAGCGACAGATGTTGTCAAGATGGTGGCTTCAGACTTACTGATGTACTACTTTGTAACATCTTCGTGAATAATTAATAAAGTGGTTACATGCATCGTCCAGATGCGGAGGCCGCAGGTCTTCCTCCTTTTCAAAAAAAAGGAAAATTTATAGTGTGTCGTCCATTCCATGACATATCAATCCATGGTGCACGGTTATGCCTGAGCTGTCGATGTATGTTGGAGATTAATTCCTAACTCCTAACAAAGCATGTGTAACCGTTAGTTAGTTGTTGGTATGTGATACTCCCTTCTATCCAAAATAAGTGTCATGTTGAGAGTCATTTTTCAAACATATGCCTTAGTTTAGGCAGAGCAGAAATCTTACACTGAATTGAATTAATGTCAAAGGCAATTTTATTTGCCTTTTCTGATTCCTCTCATTTCAATGGACAAGGCTCTAGACTTGAATAATCTTCAGCTTGCTTTCTCTCTTGTATTTCTGCTTCCTAGATTTTTGTATTATATGATGGGTATGGGAAGTCACAGAAAGAAAGCAATGCTACTGCATCTTATAACATGACTTCATGAGCTTTTGAGAAAATGTTCTGTGATATTAATTCAATGCAAGATTCCTGCTCTACCTACTATTGAAGATATATCCCAAGTTCTTGTTGGGATTTTTATTTTGTTTTTGAGATGTTGTTGGGAGAATTTACTAGTCCTCCACAAAAACTTTTTTTGGCTCATCTTTCTGGCAAAAGCCTCCAGATGACAAAAGAACCCAGATCCCATAAAGACCAGCATAACAGAGCTAGAAAATAAGAGATCTTGCAATATTCATCCTGCGAAACGAACAAAGTCTCAAGCTAGCCATTCGCGAGGTACACAAAGCTGGCACCAAACTTAGAAAATTTTGACTTCAGCGCCATTCAGGATGGATATATAGGAGTACGTGATCAGAGAAATGGCCATGGCTTGATTTCAGAGTACAAAACTACCCAAAGGCAACCATGGTGGTGCCAACAGGAAGAGCACACAGGTGAGAGCAGCCATCATTCTGCTCTGCTACAAACCAGAGCTGATCTCCCGAAATGAGATGGGATAACCATGGTACATGTTCCCAGAACACAGAGAGTTGACATGGACAGACTTGCTTCTAAACATTTAGGAGTGCATCGGTCGGTTGCCATTCCTAAACGACATCTGAATTTGTCATTCCTTCCCCACAAACTGTAGAATCATGGCTTGAGCGAACCCTTTTGGCACCTCTACGATTAGTCTCTTCTGCACGGACTATATGGACCATGAATGTGTACCTTTCCCCACCTTTTTGTCGGTACAAGGATGCGGATGTCGCCCGCTTGCACTTGGTTGTTGCATACAAACTTCAGCCGATTACCTACAAGCAGGCACATGTGTTATGAAGAATCTCGGACGCCACTTCTCACTCCTGCCCGGCATCTCAAGTGTGGTAGGCCATTTTTTCACGCGGAAAGTGAGTAGCTGCAGCTAATGCGGGGTCCTTTGAAATGATGTGTTTATATTTGGATAGGATGAGATGTCATTACAAACCAAACGAGAAAAGCAAAGTCAGGCTGAATGGAGAAGGCATGGTTTCAATTCTAAATCAAGATTTTTTTTATCCAATTGTTCACTAGGTTCATGGGAACTTGAAGATGACAAGATTTTCTCGAAGAAAACAGAAATGTACATCATATACCGCAACAAACAGTTCATATTGATAGCAGTAAGCTGCCCAATTCAACATACAAGAGCAAAAATTTAGCAGAAGATGACTAGGTAGTTGAACATCACACTTTCTCATGGTCGCCACAAATATAGTAGTTATTTTTTCTGAAAAGGGTGGATTTTTATGAACTCAAAATGAAGCATCAAGCGGATACAACACAATGAGTACACACCCTGCCCCTGCATAGCTAAGATGCACAAAACCAACATCAAACGCACTCACAGAAATAAACACGGCGGTCATACAAGACCAAAGATACTCCTCAGCAAGGAAAATAAAACCCTGAAGTAATCAAAACCACGATCGAAAAACTATAGCGACAACCATATCCGCACCAACCATATCTTCACAACACAACTACAATGAAGTTCTTCAACAACAACATCTTCAGGAAGGGAACAATGCCACTGGATCCAAGCGCCACCGGTTAGATTATAGGTTTTCACCCTGACGAACAAGTCTGAGCATATCTGAGCAATGCCTTCAACAAGGTAACGATGCAAAAAAACATTGTCATTGTCATGTCTAACCAACTTAGATCAGACCTAAGTTTTCACCCCAAAACTCAAGACTGAGTACTCAAGAAGCACCACTGTATTGAAGTCAATCGTGTCTTGCTCCACTACTTTTCCGCGATCCCAGCAGCTACATTCACTGGGCTAAAAAATCCCATTGTCCCCGCTGCCCAACCATACCATCCGCATCAAGTCATCGTCTATAGATTGTGTCTCATCATCAAAGGCAAACTAGTCAGAGCGAGAGCTACCAAAACCCACAATGAAGCCTTTCGGCTGCATCCCGCAACTTTTTACCAGTTTGAGCCGCCGGCAGCTACAACCAAATCTGGAGATTTTGGTCGCCACTGTAAGATTAGAAAAAAAGAACCCCTTCCAAATCCAAAACCCGACGGAGATGTTCGTTCCGACCACCAACGAGAAAAGGAGATCGAGTGAGCAGGCCCAGACCTCACGAGCAGCCGTCGCCAGGAGAGCCGCATGTGGCACAGTCACCGACGAAGCGCACCAACCCAACGGTAGTTAGGGTCAGAACCGGCCAACCGGAGGACGGCCAAGGTCTTCAATGGCGAGCGCCCAACTCCTGGAAGCCAACAAAGCTGCAACCCACCTAGCGGCGGCATGGAGGAACCCAACCTACCAGCGTCCGAGAGGGGTCGAGCAGGCCATGGGACGTCCAACCAGAGAGCATCGGAGATGTGAACTATGCCCCGTCCAGCGCTGCGCCAGGGAGGGTCGACCCCAGCCTCCGCCCGTCGGATCCACGAAGGGTCATAGTGGTGCCAGAGAGCTCGTCTGGCGTCGCCGGAGATGGCCGAACAAGATGATCAGCACCGCTTGAGGGAGGGAAGGGGTGGGTAGGGGTTGAAGAGGAACGGGAGAAGTGCCCCACCACCGCCTAACTGGCGGCAGCATCACCGGCGGCGGCGAGGGGAGGGTGGCCGGAGGCCGGACCAAGCGCTAGTGGCGGGAGGCGCCCCCCGTGTTGCGCAAGGTAGCTGACGCGCGGGCTTGGATGGGTTTGGTTCCTGACAAACACAGTGGTTTCAGGTTTAATTTTCTGGATAAGCTTGTTTACTCTCTCCATTTGTGCTCTAGATAGACAGCTCCTGAATATTACCGCATAATCAGCTTCTGGAGGTGTTGGATGATCATCTGACTCAGAAGATTCGTATTCTCTAGCACCGTCTTCTTCTATATGAAATTTCACGGGTAAAAAAATATATGTAATTCATGGTTTAGCGCATATGTGCATGTAAGTTGACAATATAACCTGATTTCTCAGATGAAGAAGGTGTCACAGCTACCTTTGCAGTATTCCTACAATGGCGAGCACTTCCCCTGCCACAGCTAGAAATTTAGTTCCTAATAATCGTGTCGGATCATGATGGAGGTCCTTGCAATGTGAAAATAGTTTGTACTTGTTTGTTCTGCATTACCTTGATTTGATCCCATATCAGTTCTTTTAGAAGGGGAATGATCAATGCTCGCTCTAGCAAACCCAAGGATTTCAGGTTGAGCTTCTTTTAGACATTCCTGTATTTTCTCCTAATGTACTTCTATCCGTTCCCACTGCCCTGGTAAGACTTGATCCTTCGAGAGAATGTGAGGACCGTCTTCTGCTACTTCTGTCTCAGCTACTGGATTATCAGTGCATGGTGTTCTATCACGGAACTGCATAACACTAACAAGAATAAGAATGAAAAAAAGATCAAACACTGTTAAAACATCGTATGCTGCAAACACAAACTGCAGAGTGAAGAAGGTGGAGAAAATAACACACATGAAGTATCCCAAATGTGACAAACTTGAAATGTCGACCATGTAGGTCAGCAATCGCCGCAAACTGAAAATCATCCTTAGAAATATGGCAGACTCTGGGCACCGAGTAGTTATTCAACGGAATACAATTCGCCCTATTGAGAGATCAAAGTGATCCATGTAAGCAATCTAGAAAAACTGAGACTGGAGAAGCAAGTTCCATACATATAAAACTGTAAACACTGTT